TCCTTTCCCACAGACTCTCTTCATCCACCCATCTATCCCCATAGGCTCCATCCATCCCTTTATCTGTCTGTGCACACCCCACAAAAAAACCATTTCCCCTTGCACTTTCTTCATCCACCTACTGACCCACAAACCTACCTTCCCATCTACCTACTGATCTGTGTGCCTAGACAGGGGCTCCTGTATGTACATGTCCTTCCATCTCCACAAGCCCCCTCCTTCCTCTCCTTCCCATAGGCTCTGTTCATCTGTCTATCTGTCAGTCCATCCCTCCTTCCCCTCCCTCCCTCCCTCTGTCCATCCATTCCAATACCCCCCACCAGTATCTCTCAATTAGCACTGTCCCTGGGGCGCACCATCTGTCCGTCCATCCTTTCACCCAGGCACACCTGCTACCTGGGCATACTCCGCCTGTCCCTCCGTCTGTCCATCCATTCCTTCATCCACCCATCTGTCCCTCATCCACACCCTGCCAGGGACTCACCTGCTGCAGGACCCCTGGCTCCAGCCCCCCCGGGCTTGCAGTGCCCAGCCCCCTTACGGGCCTCTCTGTCCAGCCAGCCTGTGTCCCAGCCAGCCTGTGTCCGTCTGTCCTGCCGCACCAGAGGAAGGTGCGGTTGGTCTTGCTGCTTTCCCGACCGCCCCGGAAACCCCAGTGCTCACATGAAACTAGAACTGAGAGGCAGATGCATCCGTCTGCTTTTCACTGGGGCTCTGTGGGGGAGGGGATGGGGGTCGGAACACCTTGGTTCTCTCCCTGGCTCTGAAAGGGAAGTGGGGTCACAGCAGGGGTGGCTGGGTGCCCAGATGCCTGGTTTCTTGTCCAGCCCTGGGAAGGAAGTGGCATCTAGGGGTTAGGAGCAGCGGGGGCTGGGAGCCTGGATGCCTGGGTTCTTTCCTGGGCCCTGGAATGGAAGTGTGGTTATAGCAGCTGGGGGCTGGGCCGCTGGACACCTGGGGTCTTGTGGGGAGCGGGGAGTCTCATGGATGAGAGCAGGCGGGAGTTGGGAGCCCGGAAGCCTGGGCTTTCTCCCCAGCTCTGCAGCATGAGAGCAGAGGGGGCTGGGAACGTGGACACCTGCATTCCTTACACCACACTTTCTTCTGAGAGCAGGGA